GGTGCCCCCCCCCCCCCCCCCCCCCCCCCCCCCGACAACGTTTTAAAACCTTAGCGCTGCCCTCTGTCACCTGTGTCCCACTGCCGCCTTCACCAGCCCCCGGTCTCCGCCCCTCCCTTCCCTTGCTCGCCCCATCCGGGGGGACCGTTCCCGGAACCGTTCCGTGAGCCCTGCAGCCGCTGCTCTGTCGTCGCCGTGCTAATTTAGCGCGGGAACGAGAGGTGGCGGGCTCCTGAAACATGGGCATGGTGTCCACGTCGAGCTCCTTCCCCTCCTTCACCGCCAGGTAGTCGTGGAGGGCGTGGAGCCACCTGTACACACCGAAGGACGACGCGCGATTGTTTACTATCTGGCGCATGCGTCCACCGTCAGGCATCGCTCGCCAAACGCAACCAAAGCCTACACGTGCCCTCGTCCTCAGTACAGCCGGAAGGGTGTCGGTGTTGCGACTGATAGTCTTGAGGGGGTCTTGCGGAGGGAGGTACGGAAAGCACTACGACTTCACGGACGGTGCCGCCTTAGCCGACGGGCCGTTCCACGACCTCAACCTGCACAGCCCTTATGCACCCACCGGGGCACCCAGACCATGCACGCCGCCACCCGTCGGACCTCGGCGGGGGATAGGCTGGGGTCTTCCACGAACGGAAGAAGCGCCGTGGAAGCGAGACCGGCTCGGTCCTTGTTGAACCTAGCGAGGGCAGTGGCCGGGGCATGTCGTCAGCATGCGTTCATGACACCAACAGCAGTAAGCACCACCAGTAGCAGCATCTGCAGCAGCGCTGAGGTGTTTTCTATAACGTTCAAGATACTAGCGTTTGTGTTGCAAAACACCTCATTGCCCTTTTCTTCCGAGATTTCAACTTGGAAAGTGTATTTGTCGATGCCGCTCCTTGGGTGATATGCGGTCGAGGGCCCCGCAAGTGTAGCTAGCCCCGTGCATCGCAACCTCTTCGCCGACGACATTGCCGAACGGCGGTGTGTTGTTTGAGTTGCTGTCTGCCACGGTAAAACCGTTCCGGCCTCTGCTCCGTACCTTCTAACACCCGTATCGGTACAGCTCTCTCAGACGGACGCCTTCCGTGATCGCAGCAATATGAATAGACCTAGGAAGAAAGAGCTCAAACACCGTAAACCTCCAACGAATCGCCTTCCCACCTCTTCAAGAAACCCTGCAGCTCCGGCTTGTTCCCCAAGAGGTGCGTTCGGATGTCGCTCCACCGCCTCCACCTAAAGAGCCCGCAGAACACAGTATGATCGTAAAGAGTACACATCCAACACCGAGTGAGAAAGTCATCGGCGAAAAGAAACAATACTTCGCGGGTATGATTCACCCCTGAGTTTAAATGAGTACACCCCCGCCCGGGTTTGTGGTCTGAGGCGGTCCGATGTGAGGTCTATGGATGGTCTAACGACTACGTCATGCGTTTACAATGGTACACCCCGCCCCCCCCCGGGGGGAAATCGGTGGCTTGAGGCGCACCAGGCCTACTAGATGACATCAAACAAGAAGTCGAAAAAAAAAAAAAGAGCGGAATCAACCCACCTGAGCCCTAAGGCAATCACAAGCCCCAACATCAGCCTGCGACACGCCAGCGGGGGCGACTTGAGGCGGCACATCTCCGAGAGGTGCCCGAGGCTGCCGGCCCCAAGGGCCCTGTCGGCCGCGGCTCCCAGCCGAGCAACAACAGCAGGATCGGGTAGCCTGGAGCAGCAAAACAGGGGGGGGGGGGGGGGGTAAGGGTCCCCTGAAAAAAAATTGGCCCGGAAGAAGGGGG